GGACATCCACGCTAGTTAATCCTCAGGAAAATGGACGAGGTGCAAAGCCATGTAAGTTTGGATTGAATTGATAACCACAACTAGTTTGTTAAATTAAACGAGCGGCTTTGCTAAAGCTCGAGTTCGGCTCGATCTCGAGGCCTTAACGAGCGGAGCTCGAACTCATTTAAAACTCGTTTGGTTAACAGCTCAACTCGATAAGACTAGTACGTAAATGCTCGAAAAGATTATTTTTTATATAATTTTCTATAGTTCGACTCATTAAAACTCGAGATCAGCTCGTTAAAACTCGAACTCGGCTCGTTAGTAGTGATAAACGGGCCGAACTCAAACTCGATTTCAGACTCGTTTATTTAACGAGTCGAGTTTGGCTCGGCTTGTTTGCATGCCTAATCACGGCATACTGTTTTTGTTTTCAATCTCTTTTGTTATTGTGAATTTAATGTTTGTGATTAGCTTTCGATGTATTGTGTGCATTTTCGTTGTGTTATGACGTGAATTGTGTGATCTATTATGTGCGTTTCTTGATGGTACTTGTTTTTTTAATGAATTATAAGTGTAAAAAATTAAAAATATGAGGGCTATAATTGTAAATGTGTCATCCTTCCCGAAAGCGCTGAGCCTACGTGGTTGCTTCTGGTGTTTCGGAATTTTACTTGACAAAGAATCATGCTTCGTAATTAGGTTTGAACAAATAATATTAATATATTAATAATTAATAATCTAGGTTAGGTTAGGACATTACATAAATATTATTTAGTTAACTTAGATATTTTAATATCACATGTACTAATATAACATTTTAATTCTTTGTAATTTTACATAGTGAGGCACTAAGTGACTAATATATCCCTGACTTTTGATTTGTTTCCGTCAATTAGCTATTGAATTGTAAATGTATTTTAAAAATTGATAACTTTTGTATTTCTTATCGGTTTTACATATATAATATATCAAATTAATCACATTTTGATGATGTTCGATTTGACATCCATATTGTATATTTGAAATAAATAAATTATATTTATCTTCATAATAAAAAAAATATTTACTAATATTTATTAGAAAAATAAAATTATTTCTCAATTGATATATTTATGTTTAATGTAGTTATATGCTGTAAGTTATACAAATTATTATAATATAACACAGGTAAGTCGCACAAATAAAAAATTTCATACTTAATATATAATAATATATATATTTTTATAAAAGTTATAAAATTTTTAATTATTTTTTTTTCCTTAATTTTAGATTTTAAAGAAAAATGCTTTGAATTATTATTGGTATTTAGTTATTAGTAATTTATGTATGACTTTAGAAAATGAAGGAATAAAACAAAATAAAATACTTATAAATCATGTATGTATACTACTGGTATTGTAGAAAATTGAGCTAAGAGCAAATGGGATTTTTCATTTCATTATTCTGAGAAAGTCCGTACATGCAGGTCGTATTTATATCTCATGCAATATCTATACGACGTCGTCTATGCTAAGTACAGTTAGTGACCATACGACGTCGCTTTAACTAAACAAAACGCACACACGACTTTAACACAGAAAATAGAAAAAAAAACTCTAACAGAAGTTATAACAGCTCCTATGCACTGCACTTATTTCAGTATATACACACACGATCTGCAACACCCCCTCCTCAAGCTGGAGTGTGAAGTGAAGCACACACACCCAGCTTGCACAGTAGACGATTGAAAACTCCTGGTGGTAGCAACTTAGTGAAAAAATCAGCCAGTTGTGCAGAGGAATGAACATATGCTGGTTTAATGAAGCCTGTCTTGAACTTGTCTCGAACAATATGGCAGTCAATCTCCAAGTGTTTAGTTCTCTCGTGGAAAACCGGGTTTGCTGTGATATGCATGGCTGCATGGTTGTCACACCATAATGTGATTGGTAAGCATGGTTGAATCTGAAACTCTTTAGCTAGTTCATAAACCCACTGTAGCTCACACACAGTTGTTCCCATGGCTCTATATTCAGCCTCAGCCGAAGACTTTGCCACTGTAACTTGCTTCTTGCTCTTCCAGGAGATGAGACTGTTTCCAAGAAACACACAATAGCCTGTGATTGATCTACGGGTGTCCTTACAAGTGGCCCAGTCTGCATCACAAAAGGCATTGAGAGTAGTGTCTGATCTTGAGCTAAAAAGCACACCAAGGGACTCAGTACCTCTGAGATATTTAAGCACATGGATGGCTGCTTCCCAATGTTCTGTAAAAGGATTATTGACAAACTGACTCAATTGCTGTACTGCATAGCTTACATCTGGCCTACTCATATTTAAGTACAGCAGCCTTCCTATTAATCTCCTGTATTTATCTGGTTCTGAAAGAGGATGGCCATCAAAGCCTGTAAGTCTAAGTCCTTGTGGTAAGGGTGTGCTCATCACTTTGCATTCCTCCAAGCCAAGATCCTTCAGTAAGTCATGAATGTATTTTCTTTGGCACAGATGAATTCCATCTGCTGCTCTAGTAATTTCAACTCCAAGGAAATATTTGGCCACTCCCAAATCTTTAATGGTAAACATTTCATGCAAGTACTTCTTTAGGGCTGTTATCATCTCAAAGTCTGACCCCATGATAAGAACATCATCCACATATACTAACATAGCAAGAAACTTTCCTTCCTTCTGTTGAGTAAACAAACAATGATCCTGAAGTGACTGCACCAAACCAAACTCTAAAAGTCTCTTTGACAATTCACAATTCCACTCTCTTGAGGCCTGCTTTAAACCATACAAGCTCTTGATTAATTTGCATACCTGCCCTTGTTTTCCTTTTTGATATCCTTGAGGCATCTTCATATACACCTCTTCAGATAGAGTTCCATGGAGAAAAGCATTGTTGACATCCAACTGCCAAATGGTCCATCCCTTTACTGCTGCCATAGCCATGAACATTCTGACAGTTACCAACTTAGCTACAGGAGAAAAAACATCAAAATAGTCTACTCCTGCAACTTGAGTGAAGCCCTTTGCCACCAGCCTTGCTTTATATCTCTCAACACTTCCATCTGGTTTTCTTTTAATTTTATACACCCATTTTGATCCTATTGCTCTTTTATCAGGTGGTAAATATACCAGCTCCCATGTATTATTGTCTTCTAGAGCCTTTAACTCCTGGTTCATGGCTGCTACCCATAGTTCATCCTTTCTGGCTTCCTCATAATGAGTGGGTTCTTGTTGCACTGCAATATTTGCCAAGAACACCTCATCACTTTGTACTGATTGTGACCACTCACCTGTGTTGGTTGGACATATATAATCATTCAACCAGGCAGGTCTCCTTCTCACCCTCTTTCCATCATTTTGGTTATTGTCTGTATGTTCTTCTTGCACACTTTCACTATCTTCCTCAGATGATGTCTCTTTAATCAAGGGTATAGGCAACTCATGTCTCTGATCATCCTTCTTGTCATAGTAGGGAAACTCATCAGTGAGAAATATTGCATCTCTGGACACAAATATTTTTCCATCAT